CCCCCCCCCCCGACCCGTACAAAAGATGAAGGTTGAACAGTCTTCAAGATGCCTTTGCCCGCATTCGGTTCACTCAAGAAAAAGCCATTCTGGGCAAAACTACACTTCCTCTATAAGTTCCAACAGTATTTACGTGTGCCTTCGCTGAGAACCGTTTACCGTATTGGCGACATTATTCATGAAACAACATTCACTTGATGTTCAAACAGACAAAATCGATGCTGGTGGAAATCTAACTAGTATTCACGTCTAGATGAGAAAGTAAGTCAGGAATAGTTCATCCATGGAACTACGTACCAGACAAATCCTCATTGGTGATGATTGATATGATTGTTACGCTGGTAGATCGCTCTACGGCGACTGCTTCACGGCTCAAAATATTTGTAAGAGGTAGAGGAATGAATGAGAGATGATTCCTTTGCATACAAGGTTGCTCTAAATCCACTTGTTCTTCAACACGAAGTGTAAAATCAAAACAATGATCACAGGCTACCACCAAACACAAATGGCTGAAAAAGGCTACTGTTCTTTGTTGTGAGGAGTAATGCGTCGAATGTTCATCAGTTGTCTACAACAAAGCCAGTAGGTCGAAAACTAATGCACTTTCTGTTAATCACCCCCGAGCAAAATAATGCTCCGTCTTACTTCCTGTAAATAAGTAAAACATACCTTTTCCCCACTCTTGCTCAAAGAGCGCGAACTGCTGGCCGAGAAGTTTCACATTCTTCGGAATTAGTGCGACATACAACTACGATAACTGCTGTTTGGTCGCGATAAACCAGTCAGCTCGCTGACCAACTTTGTTTCAAGGAGAAATGTGCTGTGTTCATAAATCAACTGTGTTAACCTGTACATTTTTATACAGGTCGATTGTTCATTCATACCTGGGCATCGGCTGAAGGTGTATAAGCCCAGGAGACTGTATAAGATCCTTGATCACACTGGTAATGAAATGGACAGTTTGTCAGAGAGTTTAGCAGAAAAGACAGACTGAATAAATAAGTAACTCGAAAAGAGCATTGAGCTCTCGAGAAAAACACTCATCTGCAAATCAATTTGGTTTTCACGGGAGACTCAATTGAATCTCTCGTTTATGATGTTCTCCAGCTGAATGTGCTGCACACAGGCCGCCTCATGATTCAGTTGGCACGATATTCGAGATATCGCAGTACATTTTCATAAAGGAAACTACTCACAAGGTTGCTGAAAACT